TGGTGAGTAGCTAATGTTCCTTATTAGCAATGTCTTAACTGTCCACTAGTAGCTTTGCAGATGGAAATTTATGAGAGAGATGTTTAAAGGATAAAATAAGGTTTACAGTAACATCGTTTGCTCCTGATTTCGGTCAGCATCATATTTCTCTCTGAGCTACTGTTGCAAGCATGAATGACTCCTGATCTCTGTAGCCCTGCAATTAACACCCAAGATTAATGCTACCATGAAGGATTGTACAAGCAGTAGTACAAGCAGTAGCCTCTTAAAACATCTGGATCAGCATGCTGCTGTATTTGTTAACAGAGCTCCGTTACATATATGATGTGCACTAGCTTTTATTTACATTGCATGTCAAGACTTCAGAAAACATTGTGAAATCATTGCACTGTACAAAAACCAAACCAAAAACAAAACACAGAAGTACATGGCTCTTACTCAGAATATCATGCTGTCTAGTTTAAGAAAGAAAATGACAGTGTTCAACAAATATTAGGGAACGACAAATAAACAAGGATTACAGAACAAGGCAAGTGTTCCATATGCTGAAAAGCATGCCCCGCTGGATGGTTTTAGATCACTAAAAAGGCAGTATTTACTCTGAGTTATTTGTCATCTTCTGAGAATGATTCATAAGATTTGCACTAAAGAACAAATTCTGTCAGATACTGCCAGGCACTTCTGTTTGACTAGTGCTTTTGAGGTTGGGCTCCAGCCCTGCACTGCCCTGGAAGAGTCCGGTTTCTTTCCTCAGCAAATCTGTTCCGAATGTGTTACATGCAAGATAAACTAACCAGTAGTTTGTCAGTGGAAGAATTCTTCACTTTACTTGTTTATGTTCAGAAGAGGCTTCTTTGTACAGAAATCAGAGTATCGTTTAAGTGCACAGTCTCTTATCTCTTGTTTCCTTTCCCTCCACAGTTCATTATATTTACCTAAAAAAAAAAAAAAACAAAAAAAACCCCAATAAAACTTAAGGACTTAAATGCTTGAATGAACCCCCCAAAATATGTCAAACAGAAAATGTGTGTGAGAAGATGATCATTTCCACGCTGAAGTGACAGTTTTACTTCTTTTGCAATCACCTTGTTGACAAGATAAACTACATATCTCTGACAGCTTACAGGTGAAGCCTGATTGATATTATATATTAAAGTGGGTAAATCAGCTGTATTTTGATCCTATATAGTATCTAGACTTGGAGAATTCTGACTTCTAGAAGTACACTGATTTTGTGAATGATTATGAAATTTAGTCAGTGTAGGAAAATGAAATTTTAAAATCTTCCACAAAGTGAGCTAAAAAATTTTTTCATTGCTTCAGTGTTTTCTGAATGTTTCCAAGTTCAGTGTTTCCGCTGGCAGAGTATGAACCTATTAAAATATCTGACTAGATCTGCAAGTCATATTCACTACAGCTCTCCAAAGGTAATTTTTTTCTGGGTGCTTTTCAGAGGAATAATAGAAAAACTTGTGATACTAGTGAAATGTCATTTCCCTGACACTATCCAGTACTGTACATGTATGTGCCCATGCACACACACATACATGTACAAAGAACTTTTTCAGAATCAGGGTGTATAAATATTGTGCTGCCAGCATGAGCTACCTCACCCTGGATGCTGTTATTTCAAATAGCCAAAAGAAATCAGTGCTAGCAGGCAAGGAACATCTCTGCTATAAATTTGTCATGTGTATATTTTCTTTTTTATTGATTCAGTTCTGGAAAATATCTGAGTAGAATTTAGTACCTGCTCTCTATCATCTTCACTTAGTTCTCCTCCATTCTTGAAATTCTCTCTTTTCTTGACAACTCTTGGCTTTAAAAATAGCATAACCCTCCAGTTTCATTGCTTCAGTGCTGTCAACTGAGCTTTACAGCAGCTGAGGTTCTATGTCTAAATTTTTATTTCAGTCAGCTTTGGTAAGGTGAATGTTAATGTCTGCTAATAGGCCATTAATTAGTTGGGCCATTAATTAGAAAAGGTTAACAGTACATTTGGGCATTAAGGGGACACACACTTTTGTTCCTCAAATCTGAATCAGTATCTTTTAAATCTTTCCCTTAGAAAGCAAGATCCTTTTCTGAAAGAGTATGAATGTAGACAGTATATTTTGTGAGTTTTAAAATTAATCCTAAAATCGAATATTTTTTGTGCAAGTCTTGTGGCACTGAGGCCTTGATCACAGGTATTTTGTTGCAAAATGGCATGTTCTTGAAGCAAGACTCTGTAAAATGTCACTGAACATTTTATGTAAGAGAGGGCAACAGGACAAAAGTTTATCTCCTAGGTTGTCAAATAAAAGCTGAAGGTGATTGGCATAATGACTAACGTTTCACTGATAAACAGTACCAAGGATTTGTAAACAATATTTTAATAAATTCATATCTTTTTTTTAAGGTCTTGTCTGAATTTTTTACAACTATGCGTGGTATTTAACAGTATTTTTAGTATTTGAGTAGTAATAAAAATTGATTCTCTTGAAAATATTTCTCCATCAGCTTCATTTTTTTCTTGCTTTGCCTCATACCATTTCACCATTATTAGCTAAATGGATTTAGCTAAGTTAATCTTACTTTTCTGGTTTTTTCTGCTACCTTTGTAAAATTCAGTAGAGAACAATTATCTTTTGCCAAGCATTTTCACCAATATTGCCATGACTTCGGCAAACTGCATGATTATAGATGTCTCAGACTGATCATATTCTGCTACAGTTTACCAAAAATTACTACGACAAAATTCTAAAATATTCTTAGCAATTACCATCAGTATTATTAGTTTTCTCACGTGGGTATAATCAATGTAATGTACTATATTGTATATAGTCAAAGAAATAAGCGTTGTATTCTATTTATGTATTCGTTTAAATAGGTATTTGTTTTGCTTCTCTTATGTGAATGAAGGTAGAGAACTGTGTGTCGCCTTCTAGTTTTAAAACAGACCAAATCGCTTGAGCCTGAACTGTTTATGCTTCAGGTTCAGTCCAGACAGACTACAGCTGAACAGTGAACAAAAAAATTCTCATGAAAAGAGCTCTTTCCCTCCCCCTTTATGTTCCCTTAGGATATCTATCAGCTCTGTGCAGCTGTCTGTGTGGGCTTCACTGCCTGTATCACAAGAACAACTTTTATTAAATTCTACTTTAGCACTTGAGCTTCCAGACCCAGCATGAAAATGAAAGCAGAGGTAGAAATATTGCTTGGTCACACATTCCGAAAGCTTAGCTGCTATTTAGTTGAAAGTAAATCTTATAAACCACTACGGCTTTCAAAGGCAAAGGTACCACCTTTAGAAAATACTTATCCCATCAAATTCTTTGCTTTGGGGCAAACCAGACTAAAACCATGAGTGGCTGCTGTTCCTCCTGTTCTGTTGTCCGACAACTTAAAAATGAGTCTTAACAAGAATTTTAGTCAGCCAGTATTTTATACTTGCCAGTTTGGTTAAACTGTTACTTTTCCTAACCAATAGAAGTACATCTAATTAGTGGGATGGCTAGCAGATGTTGCTCTGCAGAGACCATCCTGGTTCAGCCTGAATTTTAGCTCCATAGAAACAGATGTTTAGGTGAAACTCTAATTCTGAAAGTCACCACTGTGCAATGTGGAAGGTGAAAATCTCTGTACCAGGTCCTGTACATATCAGAATATCAGAAAGTATAGATGCTTTAGATGCTTTTACATAGCTCTAAGGTGTGGTTGCTAAAATATTTCATGCTGGAGAAATAAACTAATGGCCCAATCACTTCGTCAGTTGAATTTAGCAGCAGTGAAGTAGAAAATTAAAATAAGGTAAGTTTGAGCATCCTGGTGAAGCCAGGTACTATTTGGGTCAAGTTCAAATTTCAACACCTTCACTGTTAATTTTTATTTCAGGTAATTCAGACTATCACTGCAACTGACAAAGATAACCCTGCAAATGGGGCAAGATTCCATTTTTCCCTTGATGAGGGGCTTGCTTTGAATCCCAACTTTACTCTAAGGGACAATGAAGGTAAATCAAACACATAAATCTCAAAGAAATGGATCTCTGTTTTGTCTGGGATGTCTCATTGAACAGAACAGTTTCCGTGAGTTTCTTGACAGTAGAGGAAATCTGCAATCCGCCATCACTGAACTGGCTGATATCAAGGACATGGTGTATAGAACATATTGCAAACTGTGAATAATTGGATATTGCATTTTTTTTAATACATACTCCATTTTATTTTAACAATTATACTTGATACTTTCAGGAACGTATTTAAAAAGTGGATGAATGAGAAAGATGTTGGCAATTTGGTTTCTTTCATGGTTAATAGCACTGAGTGGGTACTGTTAAGGTTATTGCCAGTTATTCCTTAAAGGAGAAAATAAGAATTTAAGGGGCATAAAAAGCTGAATTAATGCTTACTTTTACAGCTGAGCAGGTCCTTCAGTGCTTCCTGGATGACAGTCTGTCACTTCATGCCCTTCCTAACAAAATGCAATCAGAAGTTCACAGCAAATAGGCCCAGAAGGAAAATGGCCTTCAGAGTCGTTTTGGACAAGTGTTTATGAACATATCTTGAATCAAAGAACCATTCAGCCTTTAAAAAAAACCCAACCCCAAATCAGCCTTACTATTTATTGAGTATTGCCTCAAGGTTTCCATTTTACAACCTGATGAAAATGAGAGTAAACTTTAAATGCTTGTCTGTAGTTTTCCTCTTGAGCTTTAGTGTATGTTTGTATTGTGTGGGTTTGTTTGTACACAAGTGTGGAAGGATGGGATGGTTGGCTTTATTTTATAGCTATATTTTTGCAGTAGTGCCATGGAATACCTTCTGAGATCTTACAGATCACTACTCATCTGTAATAACTGAGAAGCGTTAACTCTGTCATATATTGCTACATACAGTAATGTTTAAACTATTCTTTATGATATTTTTCATCTGTTTCTTAAAACCTTTCAGGGAAGTTGACTGCATAATCATCCTAAAGAATCTGTTCCAATGCTTAACTACTCACAGCAGGAAAAAAATAACCAAGTCATGCTATTTATTTGATCTAGATTCATGGTCCTCAAATTCTCATTCCAAGAGAGATCAATCCACTATCTATCTATCAATATTTAAATGCTAATAATGCTTGAAGGACTAACTCATATGTTAAAAATATTCCTTAAATAATGACTCCAGCCCTTTCCCAGATTAATATACCATTTCTACTCAGATAGTCATAGCAAAAGCCAGAGGGATTGTTCCTGAAAGGAGGGAAGTGTACTGTTGTGTATATTTGTATTTGAGTCCAAGATTCAAATAAACTCCTTGAATATTGGAATGTGATTTAATGTGGAAGACCATGGCTGTGTTCATTTACATACAAGATACTTATATCTAGATGTGTTTTTGAATAACTATTAAAATTGTGATTCATAATGAAGTAGATATTTTATGGTTTTGAACATATTTTACTTGGGACCTGTATTACATGTGTTTACTACCAGTGGAAAATGCTGTGTTATTCTTTAAGGACTGCATATCAGCACAAATTGTTTACCTAAACAGGTGTATGAGAGGGTGAGAACTTTTCATAAATCTCTAATGAGTCAGTGCCACGTCTTGGGTATAAATATGCAGCAGTAAGTACTTGCTGCTTTCTTGTTACCTCCCAAAGAGCACTGAGCAATGATATTACCACCAACAGCAGAAGGCAACGTTCGGATTATCCTAAGTTGGATTTGACAGGGGAAGTAGAGGAAAGAACTAGAAAAAGTGTTCTTTCAGCTAAAGGCCTTTTGTGTGTTATGTTTTTATTTCACCTAAGGAGATACAAAAAGTAAGTATGCACTCCCTGTGCATCTCACAAAAAACTTCTACTCAGAGAGACTTGAGAAATGCAATTTCCAGTTTGCCCATATAATTAACACAATGACAGTTTAAAATAAATCGTAACAAGGAATTTATCTTAAAAGCAAAAGCCTTGTCAGTATTTTGCTTGGCATGTGACCCTTTGATTGTATTGTTTAAACACTGCCTTTTATTGGGACCTTTTCTTTATGATACAATCTATATGTACAGTATAAGTGAAACACTTAGAAAGTGCACTAAGTATCCACATATCTGTCATTTACAACTTTAATATTTATCATCTATTCCTATTCACAAATGTAATTTCTGTTGCTTTATATTTTAGGAAATAGTTGAGAGATGATTGGCAGAGGCATTTCTTATGTCTGCGATAAGTTTGCAGTTTTGAAAACTCATGGTTTTGAGCATCAGCTGTTAAAAACAATCAGATGCTCGTAACACAAGATAGCTGCTATGTTTTCCTCTGGATGCAATAATTAAAAAAAAAAAAAAAAAGAAAAGAACAAAAGAACAACTCCCTTAAGAAAGTTTTCAATAATGTTTTGCAGAACAATAAAACCAAAATCACACTGGAAGTGGTAGTCAGTGGTAGCTGTATCTGTCACTGCAAAGCTCTATTTGTCTTGCAGTCATCTTTGGAGCCAGTCATCCTTTCCTTTTCTTTCTTCAGGACAAAGGTTTCATTTCAGAAAAATCTCAGTTCACATTTTCTTCCCTTGTTTTCATAAGCTAGAGCAAGAGAATTCTGCTCCTTGAGCCTGAATACACTATTGCATGAATGTTCCCCTACTCTGTTTTCATCAGTAGAGTTACGAGACCTACAAGCTGCAGCAGTAAATTGGATCTTTAAATATTAATGCTTACATCTATGCACCTCAATGAAAATGCAGAGGACTTGCACAAGCATAAGATTTCATAGTTTGTCCCTACCTACCTATATGGACTACATCATTATACAGTCACAGCATGTGTATGATTCAGGTCAATAATATTCTATGGCTTCCACAGAGGAAATAGATATTAAAGTGTCAGTGCAGATAGTTGGTCATATGACCAGTTAAAGTTTCATCTCTGAATGAGATGAAAGCACAAACCTGAGCTTGTGCCTTTACTCAGTAACAATCCACAATGTTAATGCTCCAGTCTTTGAATATGCACCCTCATGACAAAGAGCTTAAAACTTTCAGGGAAGTGGAGATCAAGAGACTCTCACAGGGCTATTCAAAATATGCAGTCCAGTAGAACCTGAGTTGCTTGGATCACCTTCTGGATTCTGTTGGTGTTTACAGTTTTCATTTTAAGGAACTGAAAAATGGAAAAGACAGAATGTGATACCTTTTACCCTACTGGCTGCATTCTTATGCTATAGTAGATTCTTTGTTGCTATTTGGGCTTTTGTTTACACTGCAAAGTACTATTCAGGGAGAGTAAAGGCTTCAGTGTATGAACAAGAGAACAGCCAACAAAATGTGCAGTATCTATACACATGTAAGCAAGACAGAACAAGAACTACAATAGAATTTGTTTGCTATACAAAGAAAATGCATTAAGTTGTAATCATTTCCTGCAATTTTAGAGAGCAAACCCAGGGAAGATGCCTTTTTGTTTGCTTGGGAATTGTATTATGAAGGCTTTTAAATGAAAAAAGGGCTGTTAACAATTTATTCTGTCCAGAAAAATGTTGCAATTTCTATTAAAACCTGAGCAGCTAAATACTGGTTTAATCTGGAGGTGCTTTGATGTTGCAGTTCAGATGCTACATAGCTCAGTTCATTATTGTCTGTGTTCTCACTTTGTTTTTTAGGATTTTATCACAGATAATTTTTTAATGCTTTTTTCACTTGTGTGTAATATCTCACATTTAGACTTTTTTGCCTAACTGGAATTATCTGCCTGGGCAATGTAAGACTAAACTACCTTGTCCTGGGTTCAGCTACAGCAGTCATTTTTCTCCGTCTTAGTAGCTCGTGCAGTGCTGTGTTTTTGACTTTCAGCCTGGGAACAACGCTGATGACACCAATGTTTTTAGTTGTTGCTAAGTAATGTTTACTCTGACCAAGGACTTTCTCAGTCTCATGCACTGCCAGGGAAGAGGGGAAGCCAGGAGGAAGCAGTGACAGGACACCTGACCCAAACTGGCCAAAGGGGTATTCCATACCACAGCACGTCATGCCCAGTATATAAACTGGGGGGAGTTACCTGGAAGGCCCAGATCGCTGCTTGGGTCAGGCTGGGTATCGGTCGGCGGGTGGTGAGCGGTTGTGTCCTTTTCCCTTGTTATTCCTCTTATCATTATTATTGGTAGCAGCAGTGGTTTATATTATATCTTAGTTACTGGAGTGCTGTTATCCCAGCCGATGGGAGTTACATTCCTCTGATTCTCCTCCCCATCCCTTCGGGAGCAGGGGGAGGAAGAAGACGGGGGAGTGAGCGAGGGGCTGCATGGTTCCGAGTTACCAGCTGAGCTTAAACCACGACACACCTTCTGCTGGGGAATCAGAGGAAAGATGAAAGAACTTCTTCACAGCAGAACTGGGCTGGGTTTGAGTACTTAATATTTTAATTGTTCTTTTTTTTTTTTTTTTTAAATACTGATGCATATTATTTTTCCAGATACTTAAGGAACTGCTGATACATTTGTCAAAATTCATTAGTTTGATGGAAAACGCGTTAAGTATACTTCATTGTTATGATATTCCCAACCATTAATGCATAGACACACATATTTGCATTGTCTGTCTGTCTTGGTTTTAAAAATTAATTCTCTCTTCCTGCCTGTTTTTTTACCTGTTAGAGACTTTCAGAAGCTGCATGACACTTTTCAGGGAGCTGGCAAAAGACTGAACCCTCAAAGAACAATTCACTTAAGTGCAAAAGAACATTTATGAATTTTATGCACTGTAAAGCACTGTTTTGCCAGTGGAATTTTTTATCAGAAGTTATACAGTGTACCACAGATGCTTCAATGGCTATTGTAAATATCCTGGATGATAAGGGTTTGTGCAGGAGCTGTGCACATTCACCCAACACTGCCAGTAAGATTTGTACATTCTAGTAATTCAGTAAATTGAGACCGATGACTTCTGAAAGTAGACAAAGTTTACCTTACCTTCAAGGAAGAACAGCTCCCTAGAGAATTCTTAGCATTTGTTCTCCTTTCCTT